ATATATAAATATATATATATATATATATATATATATATATATATATATATATATATATATATATATATATATATATATATATATATATATATATATATATATATATATATATATATATATATATATATATATATATATATATATATATATATATATATACATTTAAAAACATCACAACAGCAATATTACAAAACTATGCTAACAGTTTGTAATTTACTAAGACGAGCATATTTTTTATGAGTAACTTGCTTAACTTTACGTGAATAAAAAATTTTGCACAAATATTTTACCTAAAGCTGAACATATACTTCAAAAACGCTGAGTGAAAGCAATTGCTTTTTTTTTATTCACCCGGTCTCGTTACTAAACGCTAGCTTAACAATCATTACAGCTAATAATTTCATCTGGACATCTATCTAAGTTTGAGTAATAACAATAATAACACTGAATATTTAATCTATTATGACTCTTAATCTAAAAACTGGACTGGTAGAGAATAGCCTACCAGTCCAGTTTTTACGTCTGTTACTAAAATATTTTAGCTAAGAATCTATTTAACTTAAGGGAGAGCGGGGTTGGTTGTCACACTTTTTACATTTTAGACTGCTTAGCTTTTATATTTTATTAAATCAATGCCAAGCTTTGCACGAAAGTAATTTAACTTTTTTCGGTTCAACTATTGCAATATTTTTATGACATTGAGTGAATTATTTTTTGCTGTAAAATCATTTATCGAAGACCTCTTCCGTGTGACAACCAACCCCACTCAAGGAATTGGTTGTCACATATTATGGGGCTAGTATTCACATTTCTTGGTATGCTTTGATTATATTTAAAACTAGTACTAATAAATTTTGTTTATATAATACAAAGAATATATATGAATATTATTCATTTAGATTATTCATTGAATAATCTGAAAAAAAAAAGGCTATATACTGAAAAAATTTTTTTTTTTTTCATATAACTCTATAAACACATTTTAAAACTAAAAGTGTGTTTATAGTGTAATTAGTCCTAAACTAAATGTGTTTATATATACCTAAACTAAAATTTAAGACTGTAGAAAGATACTCTTTATTTAACTTAAGACTATAGAAAGATACTCTTCATCAAATTTAAGACTATAGAAGTTTTTTTTTGGTTTTAAATTGACAAAATTTGACTTTATCAATTCTTTTTTACTTCCATTAATAAATGACTTACGATTCTTGTAAGTATTTTTTAAAATAGTTTTCTTCTTTTTATAATTAGCAGGCCATGCTTTTTTGGAGTGTAGAAAAAAATAACTTTTTTTTTCTACATGCTAAAAAAAGCTAAAAATAAAGCTGAAAAAAAATAATTATTATTATTTTTTTTTTTTTATATATTATTTCCATTGTGTGGTTTTAGAGTTGTATGTATGTATGTAATGTATGTATGTATGCATGCATGTATGTATGTATGTATGTATGTATGTATGTATGTATGTATGTATGTATGTATGTATGTATGTATGTATGTATGTATGTATGTATGTATGTATGTATGTATGTATGTATGTATGTATGTATGTATGTATGTATGTATGTATGTATAATAATAATAATAATATTAATAACAGTTATTATAATAATAATAAAAATAAAAATAATAACTAAAGAATTATTGATTTTAAAATTTTTAATTCATTATTAGAGTATTATTTTATCAATTAAATCATTTACACAAAATATATTTTAGATTTTTTGTTTTTACAAGTAGTTTGAAATTTTGAAAAACATCAAAAGAATGAAGAATCAAGTAATGATAATAAATGATATTTTAAAAAACTAATTAATAAATATATGAGAAAGTTTTTCAATGACAAAAAAAACATCTCATATTTTATTATAAGTATTTTATTAACACTTTAGGAGTTAGAAACCAATCTATTGAAACCAAGTGAAGAAGGTATTACATTTGTGTATACAAATTGTAAAAGTTAATAATGAGGTTTAAGAAATTATAGTTTTTTAAAATTCAATTGAAATTATATTTTATTAATTTAACATAATTAAATAATTTTGAAAATGAGAAAGGTATTACTTTTGTATTTATAGATTGAATAATATAACTTGTTTATAAGTTTAAATAAAATTTATAGATTGTAAACTAAATAAAATATAAATTAAATTATGCAGAAATATAATCAAGAAAAGTAAAATTGTTATAAAAATGATACAAGAAAAAAAAAATCTATTATAAATATGAAAAGCAAAATATGAAATTAAAAACGAAAATTTAAAAAAACCCTGTTATTGCAAATTAAATTGTAAATTAAATAGATTTTGGTTTTACATCTTATTTAATTTTATATTTCCTTATTTATATTTTCTTTTTTTCATATTGTTGTTTTAGTATATATTTCCACATATTTTAGTTTATATATTTGCATAAAACAATTTAAATTTCCGCATAATTAAATTTATATTATATTTTGTGTCAGAAAAAGAAAATTTGATGCTAAAGTACGAAACAGGTATTCCATTTGTGCCTAAAGATTGTGAATATTAAAAGTTTATAATTTTTAGAAAATATAAATAAAATAATTTTATATCCATTTAACTTTAGAAAATGAAAATATGAAAAAAGAAATCGAAACTGGTATTCCATTTGTTTATAAAAATTGTAAATACTTTAAGACAGTTTGATGACTTATACTTTTATAAAATACAATTAAAATTGTTTTATATCATTTTGATTTTAGCAATTGCAAAAAATTTAGAAAATGATAAAGGTATTAGTTTTGTGTTTATAGATTAGATAATATAATGAAACAGGTTTAACAAGTTATACTTTTTTAAAATACAATAAAAATGTTTTATATCCATTATTCTTACAGTGTTACGCGGAAATATAAATTAAATTATGCAGAAATATAAACAAGAAAAGTAAAATGGTAATAAAAATGAATAAGAAAATATGATACAAGAAAATCAAAATAATTATAAATATGAATAGCAAAATGTAAAACTAAAAATGAGAATTTAAAAAAACCCTGTTATTGCAAATTAAATTGTAAATTAAATGGATTTTGTTTTAACATCTTATTTAATTTTATATTTCCTTATTTATATTTTCTTTTTTTGATATTGTTGTTTTAGTTTATATTTCCGCATATTTTAGTTTATATATTTGCATAAACCAATTTATATTTCCGCATAATTAAGTTTATATTATACTTTGTGTCAGAAAAAGAAAATTTGATGCTAAAGTACGAGACAGGTATTCCATTTGTGCATAATGATTGTGAATATTAATAGTTTAGAATAGCAAAATATGAAACTAAAATTAAGATATTAAAAAATCCCTGTTATTGCAAATTAAATTGTAAATTAAATGAATTTGTTTTAACATCTTATTTAATTTTATATTTCCTTATTTAAATTTTATTTTTTTGATATTGTTGTTTTAGTTTATATTTACTCATATTTTAGTTTATATATTTGCATAAACCAATTTATATTACTGCAAAATTATATTTATATTATATTTTGTGTCAGAAAAAGAAAATTTGATGCTAAAGTACGAGACAGGTATTCCATTTGTGCATAATGATTGTTAATATTAATAGTTTAGAATAGCAAAATATGAAACTAAAATTAAGAATTTAAAAAATCCCTGTTATTGCAAATTAAATTGTAAATTAAATGAATTTGTTTTAACATCTTATTTAGTTTTATATTTCCTTATTTAAATTTTATTTTTTTGATATTGTTGTTTTAGTTTATATTTACACATATTTTAGTTTATATATTTGCATAAACCAATTTATATTACTGCAAAATTATATTTATATTATATTTTGTGTCAGAAAAAGAAAATTTGATGCTAAAGTACGAGACAGGTATTCCATTTGTGCATAATGATTGTGAATATTAATAGTTTAGAATAGCAAAATATGAAACTAAAATTAAGATATTAAAAAATCCCTGTTATTGCAAATTAAATTGTAAATTAAATGAATTTGTTTTAACATCTTATTTAATTTTATATTTCCTTATTTAAATTTTATATTTTTGATATTGTTGTTTTAGTTTATACTTACACATATTTTAGTTTATATATTTGCATAAACCAATTTATATTTCCGCATAATTAAGTTTATATTATACTTTGTGTCAGAAAAAGAAAATTTGATGCTAAAGTACGAGACAGGTATTCCATTTGTGCATAATGATTGTGAATATTAATAGTTTAGAATAGTAAAATATGAAACTAAAATTAAGAATATAAAAAATCCCTGTTATTGCAAATTAAATTGTAAATTAAATGAATTTGTTTTAACATCTTATTTAATTTTTTATTTCCTTATTTAAATTTTATATTTTTGATATTGTTGTTTTAGTTTATACTTACACATATTTTAGTTTATATATTTGCATAAACCAATTTATATTTCCGCATAATTAAGTTTATATTATACTTTGTGTCAGAAAAAGAAAATTTGATGCTAAAGTACGAGACAGGTATTCCATTTGTGCATAATGATTGTGAATATTAATAGTTTAGAATAGTAAAATATGAAACTAAAATTAAGAATATAAAAAATCCCTGTTATTGCAAATTAAATTGTAAATTAAATGAATTTGTTTTAACATCTTATTTAATTTTTTATTTCCTTATTTAAATTTTATTTTTTTGATATTGTTGTTTTAGTTTATATTTACACATATTTTAGTTTATATATTTGCATAAACCAATTTATATTACTGCAAAATTATATTTATATTATATTTTGTGTCAGAAAAAGAAAATTTGATGCTAAAGTACGAGACAGGTATTCCATTTGTGCATAATGATTGTGAATATTAATAGTTTATAAATTTTAGAAAATACAAATAATAATTTTATATCCATTTAACTTTAGAAATTGAAAAATTGAAAAAAGAAATCGAAACTGGTATTCCATTTGTTTATAAAAATTGTAAATACTATAAGACAGTTTGATAACTTATACTTTTATAAAATACAATTAAAATTGGTTAATATCATTTTGATTTTAGCAATTGCAAAAAATTTAGAAAATGATAAAGGTATTACTTTTGTGTTTATAGATTAAATAATATAATAAAACAGGTTTAACAATTTATACTTTTTTAAAATACAATAAAAATGGTTTATATCCATTAATCTTACAGTGTTACGCGGAAATATAAATTAATATATGCAGAAATATAAAAAAGAAAAGTAAAATGGTAATAAAAATGAATAAGAAAATATGATGCAAGAAAATCAAAATAATTATAAATATGAATAGCAAAATATGAAACTAAAAATGAAAATTTAAAAAAACCCTGTTATTGCAAATTAAATTGTAAATGAAATAGATTTTGGTTTTACATCATATTTAGTTTTATATTTCCTTATTTATATATTTTTTTTTTCATATTGTTGTTTTAGTATATATTTCCACATGTTTTAGTTTATATATTTGCATAAACCAATTTAAATTTCCGCATAATTAAATTTATATTATATTTTGTGTCAGAAAAAGAAAATTTGATGCTAAAGTACGAGACAGGTATTCCATTTGTGCCTAAAGATTGTGAATATTAAAAGTTTATAATTTTTAGAAAATACAAATAAAATAATTTTATATCCATTTAACTTTAGAAAATGAAAAATTGAAAAAAGAAATCGAAACTGGTATTCCATTTGTTTATAAAAATTGTAAATACTATAAGACAGTTTGATAACTTATACTTTTATAAAATACAATTAAAATTGGTTTGATTTTAGCAATTGCAAAAAATTTAGAAAATGATAAAGGTATTACTTTTGTGTTTATAGATTAAATAATATAATGAAACAGGTTTAACAATTTATACTTTTTTAAAATACAATAAAAATGGTTTATATCCATTAATCTTACAGTGTTACGCGGAAATATAAATTAATATATGCAGAAATATAAAAAAGAAAAGTAAAGTGGTAATAAAAATGAATAAGAAAATATGATACAAGAGAATCAAAATAATTATAAATATGAATAGCAAAATATGAAACTAAAAATGAGAATTTATAAAAACTCTGTTATTGCAAATTAAATTGTAAATTAAATAGATTTTGTTTTTATATCTTATTTAATTTTATATTTCCTTATTTATATTTTCTTTTTTTGATATTGTTGTTTTAGTATATATTTCTACATATTTTAGTTTATATATTTGCGTAGACCAATTTATATTTCCGCATAATTAAATTTATATTATATTTTGTGTCAGAAAAAGAAAATTTGATGCTAAAGTACGAGACAGGTATTCCATTTGTGCCTAAAGATTGTGAATATTAAAAGTTTATAATTTTTAGAAAATACAAATAAAATAATTTTATATCCATTTAACTTTAGAAAATGAAAAATTGAAAAAAGAAATCGAAACTGGTATTCCATTTGTTTATAAAAATTGTAAATACTATAAGACAGTTTGATAACTTATACTTTTATAAAATACAATTAAAATTGTTTTATATCATTTTGATTTTAGCAATTGCAAAAAATTTAGAAAATGATAAAGGTATTAGTTTTGTGTTTATAGATTAGATAATATAATGAAACAGGTTTAACAAGTTATACTTTTTTTAAAATACAATAAAAATGTTTTATACCCATTAACCTTACAGTGATACGCGGAAATATAAATTAATATATCCAGAAATATAAACAAGAAGCGTAAAATGATTATAAAAAAGAATAGCAAAAATAAAATTAAAAGTAAAAATTTCAAAATCCTTAATATTGTTAATTAAATTGTAAATTAAATAGATTTTGTTTTAAGATCTTATTTAATTTTATATTTCCTTATTTATATTTTCTTTTTTTAATATTATTGTTTTAGTTTATACTTCCACATATTTTACTCTATATATTTGCATAAATTAATTTATATTTCCACACAATTAAATTCATATTATATTTTGTGTCAGAAAATAATAATTTTTTAAAATATTTAAAAGTATTTTGTATCGATTTAGCTTTAGCAACTGCAAAAAGTCTTGAGTTTGAGAAAGGTATTGCGCTTTTGTTTAAAGTTTGTAAATACTATTAAACAAGACGTTTGATGTTAAGCATTTTATTCTAAAAGCTAAAATAACCAAATAAACTTTAATAATTAAATACAAAAATGTATTTTTGTATTTAATTATTAAAGTTTATTTGGTTTTTTCGAAAGAATAACATTTTTATGTCAATATATAAAAAATCATATATAAGTTTTGATATCTTATTCACATCAAAGATCCTGGCTTTACGCGCGTACGCTTGCAAACGCGTGAAGTTGTTTACACGCTCAAGCAATTAAAAAGTTTCCATCTCTAAAAAGCTTTAATTTATGATTTTCTTGTTGTATAATAAATTTACTCGATTTCTAAAAAATAAAAAGGAATTACATTTTGAAACATTCCTTTGAGTAACAACTCATGACTATTAGTTGCATTCGACTTTTCTACATTTTCCGGCATAATATAAGTTATTTAGTA